AACATTTTGCCTATCTCGTTTAATAGGCAGATCGGCCTGTACGATGAGGGCGCCAGATCCGGTTTGTCCGGCTTTTTCAATAAAACCAGCCTGGCCTTCTTCCAGCACCTCGGAAAAATACCCTCGCGGAGACACTTCGTGAAGCAATAGGCAAGGAGATCCACGCATTCTGGTAGAGCGATCTTAATTACCTCCTCCCCAGATACCGTCCGGTCCCGGGGCCTTACCAGTTTGTCTCAATTTAGAGGCAGCCCATTCCACCTCACCTACCGTGACCGCACAGTCTTCGTCCCATAGCACCGGCAGACGAGGTCTATTAGTTAATTCGCCCGCCTCGACTGGGAAGAGTCCAGTTATAATCCTGAACATATCCTCTCGTGATACCGTCTCACAAACCGGTCGAGGTTGTGGTCATTTTTCCCAGGACGATCCTGAAGGGCCTCCCCCAGGGATCCCCGTCCACCTCAGCCAGGAGTCCCAGCCAGGCCTTATTTTTAGCGTCCCTAATTGCTTTCCTAAGTATCCCTCTAGCTCGCGCTAGTTCCGCCTCGAGGGGTGGAACCGCCGTTCGGTGTCTCCTACGCCCTCTCGTGACCTGTCTTTGTAATCTTACGCATTCCGCCCGTAGCTCCGAGATCTCCGAGTTCCACCAATACACTGGTCTTTTCCTGTGATTGCCCGACCTGCGCATCGCAACGCTAGAGGCCTCGGTGAACGTTGATTGGATTCTTTCAGCCAGACCTTCCGCGCCTAAGCTATCATCTAACCTAGGCCATAGTCTCGTTGCCACACAGGCGCGCAGGCGATCCACGTCCAGACTCTTCAGGTTCCAGCGCGGGAATTTCTTGAGTGTTCCTCCGATATCGCGTAATCCATTTCCACGTCCCAGGTCTAAGAACACGTACCTATGGTCTGATAGGGATTCTTCCTCCGTAGCGATTTCCCAATTCCTAATACTCGGAAGGGCCGCAGGAGAGGCCCAGGAGAGGTCAATGACCGACCTCCCCTGCGGTCTCACGCATGTTGGTATATCAAAGACGTTCAACAGGCGCAGGTCCAAGGCACCCGCCCAATCCGCCATCACCTCCCCTCGAACAGTGGGGTGTGTATTTTCCCAGAGGTGTGATCGCGCGTTAAAGTCGCCCACAATCAACATAGGCCTGCCCCTATGCGCAATTATTGCGTCCCTGATGGCCGACAGGAAAGCCCGGAACTGGTTAACACTTTTGTTCGGGGAAAAGTATCCCGAAACCACGACAAGTCCATCCCATATGACTGCGACAAACCCCTCTCCACGGCCAATCACCACCATCGATTTCGGGGGCTTGGGGCCCTGCCAAGTGATGGCAGCCATAGGGGTCGCCTCCGTAAATCCGATCCATCTGGGATCTCTGGGGACCCGATAAGGCTCCGACACGCACGCGATGTCACACTCTCGTTCCTGCATCACTTGCAGTAATAGATCCTGCGCACCCCAAGATCTATTCAGATTTATTTGGACGATCCTGCTAGGCATTACTCATAGTAGCAGCGGCCTCTCTCCGATTCGCTGTTTCTGTGTCTTTCTCTTTTCTCATATCCCTACCCGGGCTTCTTCTGGGTTGGTACGGAGGGCACCCCCCCGAGCCCGCCCTATGATTATGAGGGAGCCCCCTCTCCCTGCAAACAGGGCAGCTAGCAGGTCTGTCACACACATTGGCCTTGTGGTCGGCTCCTGCACAGTTGAAGCAACAACCCGTTCTATCAGTCTCACTGGGGCACTTCCATCTGACGTGGCCCACCCCCAGACACCTAAAGCATTGAAGCGGCCTTTTTTTGAGTAGGTCCACTTTAGCCGTGGCCCATCCAATTCTCAAATCGCCCGCATCCGCAATCTTCAGTGCAGCATCAAGTGGGCATTGAAGCCACGCAGTCCTCATTCCGTTTCTTGCAGACCTAGCATTGCCCAATCTGATGCTTTCCGGTCGACAGCCGCCCGCCCCGGACACGGCCATTATGACTTTCTCCGCTGTTGCTGAAGCATCAAGGCCCGAAAGCCTGAGCTCCCCCTTCAAAGTCGGTCTACCAACACGGACCCCTGTATCCCGAAAAGTGTCCCGGAGCCTGGCCGCCAGGTCATCCGCAGCCTTTGCCTTGTCGACTCCCGGGAGTTCAATCAAAACTCCGCCGGATACCGTGTTCCTCATTCTAGTATCCGCTATCCCCAGGTCATCCAAGACGATCTTCTCTTTAGCGGTCCTGATGGCTTCGGCATAGGTCATTCCCCCCTCGGGGCAAGAGAGGGTGACCGCCGAAGAGCGGGGAAGGCGCCTTGGGGGCGGTCCACCCCCCCTCTCCGCATTTTCACTTGAGGATCCGCCGCCTCAGTTCCTTGTGTCTCCCTGTTCCGTGTTGGAGCCCTCGCCTCGGCTCCCAGGGCGTTATCGCGCTCCGCCTTGTCGTTAGCCTTCGGGTTTACCTTTTCCCTGTCTTTGTGATAGCTTCCTTCCTTGTTCCGATTAAATTTCTTCTGTTTCTTCCTCGTCCCTAAAACGGGAGGAGGAAGACCATCTTCTTCAGTATCTTGCTTGTTCGACTCCATCGTCGCAGACAATGAAGCTGTATTCCGATCATTGTTTCTTAGATATTGAAGAGTGTCCCTTGCTGTAACTGGTTGTTGCCATCCCAGATTCCCGCCCGGGGGTACCAAAGCACTTAAGGCCTCGGCCATGGCCCCTTTGATTGTTGCTGCTAGATCTGTAAGGAATTCCTTATTCAGTGCTACCTGATTGGCGGGTTTTACCCCCGGTCTGTCTCCCCTTCCGGGTCGCTGCTCTTTAGGCTCTTCCGGCACCACATTCACCGGGCTCCATCTGCCACCCTCATCTATCGCATCTCTGTTATTCGAGTGCGAGGGCCCCGCCAGTGCTGTCTCATCAGCCATTTCGACATCTGCGTTGGCCGCATTTCCGGTCGCTCCCAGTTGTTTTTCTGACAAAATATTATTTAGTCTTTGAATTTGGAGCTTTGCCTCTGTCAGCTCTTCTTGTAGCTCGAGTACTCGATTTCGCAAATACCCGGGGTCACCTTCAGCCGAAGCCCTCACAGCAAGTGTCTTGATCGCGTGGCCCGCCGAGTGCAGATTCACCTTGATCGTCTTCGTCAGCGATCCCTTTATATTGGTAGACTTTGATCGAGCCGTCTCAGCTTCACCCAACCAATCCCCGGCCAGGGCCGCAATCTCGCAGGACGAGAGCTTCTCCATGGCCCGCACTCTCTCATCCGTGAGCGCCTTCTGCGTATCGGATAGTTGGCCAATAGTGATTCCGCAAGCAGAGTCTTCCGCCTCGTCATCTCCATCCTCAGGGGAGTAAAAGACCCTTTTCCTTTTTTTCCCCGATTTCGTTCTTGTCATTGAT